GAAAGAGGAAGGAGACGGAAAGCGAAAATGAAAGAGGGAAACTGAGGCATTTTCAGAGTTGAATCCAGAGAAGCCACCAAAAGTATAAGAAAAAAGACGCTTTTTGGCAAAAGTGTTTTTGAAACGTCAGTTTTTATTCTGAATCTCCATTTTTTTAAGAGGAGGGGAGAGTTGAGCTGGATTCCTTCTTGGGGGAGACTCTGAATTTGGGGAGGAGACCCAGAACCCCCCACCCCACATTCCCCCATTGCTGGGGGGAACTGAGGGAGAAGGATGTTGGGTGGGGTCTGAATTGCTCCCCTAAATTGGCTCCCCAAAACTATCCCTTTAGCGAAGGGGGCTGGAGCCCCTTCTTTTGAGAGGGTCTTGGGGGGCTGCAGGGGGGTCTATTTGGGCGGGGGGTGGTGGAAAGAGGCCTCGAAAAGCATCCAAAGACAGCTTGTGGGTTGTGAAGATGGGGGCGAGGGGGGGAAGAGGAAAAGGGAAGGCGAGGCTTGAAGGGCAGGGAGAGCCCAGGAGCATGGGTGTGGGTATCCTTATTGTGACCCCCGCTCCTTATGCCCCCGAAAGGGAGAGGAAGAAAGAAGTACGGATATTCATTCCATTCCAGCCCAGAGGGGGTCTCTTCCCTCCCCCCATATTTCCTGCCACTTTGGGGGGAAAAGAGGCCCCACCGGGATCTAACATTCCCAACAGTGTTAGGCCGAGTGCTGGACCAGCTGAACTTCTGCCTGCTTGTTTCCACCCTGGGAAGATGGGGGGGGTCCCTCAGGAAGCTACCCCTCTCCCTTATTTTTTCCCCTCCCACGACCCCTACTAAGGGGGAATCCCACTGGGACCGACGGTTCCCCACCTATCCTCCAGGGGGCGTCTTCCGGTAGCCTCTTGCGGTAGGTTTTCCTCCCCTCCTCTGACAAGCCTGTGTCCCTCCTCTAGGAGAGGCTGGGAACCATGGGCCCTGGAGTCCCTCCTAACGCCCTTCCTCCTCCTCCTCCTCCTCCCCCCCGCAGCCCATTTCCTGCTCCAGTGGAAGTCCGAGTGCCATTTCTTCAACGGGACGCAGCGGGTGCGGTTCCTGGACAGGGAGATCTACGACCGGCAGGAGATCAACTACTTCGACAGCGACCTCGGGAAATATGTGGCCGTCACTCCATTGGGGCAGCCCGATGTGGACATGTGGAACAGCGATAAGGTCTTCATGCAGTACCAGAAGGCCGCTGTGGATTACTTCTGCCGACGCGCCTACGAGGTTCTCCAAAGCGGTTTCATGATTGGCTGGAGAGGTGAGTGGGGGAGGGGGAGTTCCATGGGGGGGAATGCAGGGACCCCCCCCTTTTAATTTCATTTCTTAGGACTCTCCCTTATGTATTCTGTGCTCTCCGATCTACGAAATTTACTCATTGGTTATTGCTATTTATTGATACTCCTAAACCGCCCTCTTCCCTCCCTCAAAGCGGGGATCTGGATGGCATAGGATATAACATCACCCCTAGATAAAAATGTATAAAAAAGTAAGGTTAAAAAAATAAATTACCATTAAAAAGTTTGAAATTCTTCAATGATGACAATGACACATGCCAAAGGGAAGAAATAGATTCCTCTCCTTCCCATCGGTCCCACAATCTTCCTTCTCTTCCCAAGGTCCAAAGTTTCCCCTGCCCCCAAAAATTTCTTTCCAGAATATTATACCAAATATTATATTTTGGGAGGGGGAAGGAATCCTACAAGGTCTCTCTCTTGCCCAGTATATAGATATATTTCAATACAATCTATATGCTATATACTATTTCAATATAATATTTTATATTAATAAATCAATAGTGTTTCTTTCTTGATTTACTTATTTATTTCTTTACTGATTTACTTATCAATTTTTAAAACAGTCTCTTTGTCCCACATAGACACTTTGCATGGTATACACATAAAATATAAAAGCACCAAAATAGTCCATACAATTTAAGATTTAAAAAGCAGAAATGATTAAAATCCAGTGATAAAAATTCATGAAAGGGGGGGGCTTCAGGAGGCTGACCGGCCCCACGGCTGCCTCCTCTTCTGTGCCCCCCAAGCAAAGCCCCAGAGCCCCATTCTCACCCCTTTCCGGAAGGCCAGGAATGGGGGAGGGGCTCCCTTCACCTCTGGGGCCTTTGGGATTTCAGGATAAAAAGTGAACTTCCAAAGGTCTGGAAAAGGGAATTAGGGAAGGCTCTTTCGTCTGCTGTGCCCTATCCCTCTTTTAGTTCTTTTTATTCTTTATTCAGAGTCATTTGTTCATCCAATTTTGGGGGTCTGGGAGAAAAGCCCCCCTGGAAACCCCCTTTTTGGTCACAGACTCAGCTCCACCTGCAGCCAAATCGCTTCCCTCTTCCTATCTGGGAAGGTTCCTCATTTGGGGGCAGAGATTCAAAAAACACCACAAGCATTAAAACTGAATTTCGGGCATTCATTCAGCCCTGAAGCCTCGGATTGTTTAGTTCCCTGTTCCAGATTCCTGGCAAATTGCCTACGTTTGTTGTTTTACTTTTATTTGTTTATATTAAAAAACCTTATTTATTTTTATCAACTGATAAGGTTTCATTGTGCAAAACAAGTGTTTCATCTGCGGTTGTTGCCATTTGTTGTTGCCAGGGTCTCCCAAAATGATATCCTACCAAAGAATTAAATAAGATCTTTCTTCCACAAGAGAAAAAACCGCCAGATCCCAAGAGAAAAAGGCATTTTATGGGGAGAGGCTGGGCATCTGCTCCTTCCGGAAATTATGGAATATTTAAGGGGAACCAACACAGATTTTGTTCTCCGCATATTCAGTCTGGAATTCCTTTTTACTCCTAAATTCTTCCCTGCAAACCTAGGAGGATAATTAACTGTTCATAAAAAAATCCCGACCAGATCCCAGGATTAAATTACAAATAACCAAACCTTTAAAAATTGCATGTTCTTAAACGTTATATAATGAGCTCTTCATCAGAGAATCCGTCAACGGAGAGAAACGTTGTTAGCAAAAGTTCTCTGAGCTGGAGTGGATCTATGAAGGATCCTCTTGGGGGGGGCTCACTCAGCCCTCCCCCCATTAATCCATCCAAGAGTTGTGCGATTTGCTGGAGGAGGAGATCAAGAGGGATCCTTTCCAAGGCTCTTCTGTGATCCTGGGATCTGCCTGATCTCCTCAGCTACCTTCCCTTTCCCCAAGATCCCCCCCCCCCAGATCCTTTCTGCCCTCCCTGTCCGGAATGGGGCAACTCACTGCAGGACAATTCAACAATTTTATTCAATTATTTAAAATAATTTTAAAAATGTTTTTTTTTAAATTTTTGTCCTTCACATTTCATTTCTGTCCTCCCTCGGCCTCCTTCCTTTCCTGATTCTCTTTCTCCATTTCTCCCATATTATGCAAGTTGTCCTAGACCCCTCCCTGCCCCCCCATCCCAGGTAGGAGGGTCGGACCCCTCCCCACCTCCTTCCTGGGGGGGGAAATGGGGCTGGGAGGGAGGCCGGACGGCTGCAGGGAGAGGTTGGGGGGGGAACCTGGGCAGAAAAAAACCAAAGGTTCAAGTACAGATTAGGTGAAATCTGGCTCAAAATCAGGGGGTCCTAATGGGGAGCCTCACACTGGAGGTAGTTGTTGAATTCAGAGGCAATCCTCCCTCCCCCCTCACATGTCCTGTTCCTCCCCATCTTTTAAGTATAATTTTATCTTGACTGGGAATTCCATTTTGATTGCTATAAAAATATTTATCTGTTGGGATTTTAATGTTCTAATGTTGTAAGCCAGGGTTTTTCAACCTTTTCACCAACTGTACCACTTTTAGGATATATGGCAATATTCGAGTACCACCTAGCAAGGTGTCAAATACTTGATGACCAAAAAAAAAAACCTGTTTAAAGTTGCAATTCCACTGAAATGACTTATGGCCATTTTTCACACTTATGACCATTGCAGCAGGCCCAGGGTCATGTGATTTATATTTGGATGCTTGGCAACGGATTCATATTTATGATGGTCACAGTGTCCCAGGGTCATGTGATCCCCTTTTGCAACCTTTTGACAAGCAAAATCATTGGCAGGTGGCCAAGTGCTAAGGCGGGACTTCCTTCCCTCCCTCCCTCCTTTTCTGCCTCCCTCTTTCTCATTCCCATCTCTTTCTGAAGGAAGAATTTGAACCCCCCCAATATTTTCCCTCTTCTATATATTCATTGAACAAGGAAAAGCCTCCAGAGACTGAAAAGACAAGCCATTGAGGGAACTAGCTTAAGAAGGCGCATTCCCCTTTAAGAATTAGCTACTGGCTAGAAAGGAAAGTTAAGGAGCGCAGTGGGCACTTAAGGAAGAAAAATAAATGTAGAAAGTATGGCTGCTGGCTAAGGCAGCCTCCCCAAATGGCTCCATTCATAAGTACAGGCAAAATCCATTCAGGAGAAAAATACTTCAAAATCCCTTGAAGCAAAACTTACAGCTGACAATAGNGGTCCGGTGGCTGAAGAACGGGCGGCTGGAGGAGGAGGGCGTGGCCTTTGGGGAGGAGCTCCAGAATGGAGACTGGACCTACCAGCTCCAGGTGATTCTGGAGACCCAGCCCCAGCGGGGGGACGTCTACACCTGCCAGGTGGAGCACGCCAGCCTGGAGGCCCCCATCACCGTCCAATGGGGTGAGCCCCTCCCCTCCATCTCCTCCTGGTCTGGGGACCCCATCCTGCCCTGAGAAGGGGGGAGGGACCCTCCCTGTGGGGGGAGCTGGGATGGACCCTCCTGGGGGGGGAAGCTGGCCCTGATCTTCCTACTCAGGGGAGGCTCCTTCTCCTTCCCCAGAGCCCCGTTCCTCCAACTCTGCCAAGAGCAAACTCTGGACGGGGATCGTGGCAGCCGTGATCGGGGTGATCTTCTTTGCCATGGGGCTCTTCCTCTACCTGAAGAGCAAGACAGGTGAGTCTGGGGGGCTGGATATCAGATTGTGGGGAGGGGACCATCCAGGGGAGGCCTCTCAGCAACCTTAGCAGATGGCAAGGAGGCTCCCCTTGGAGATTTGCTTGGGAAATTCTGTTCTTTGAGAGTCTACTGTATAAGTGAGCATCCTGCAACCTATTATGGGCTGCCAATGGGTAGGTGGACATTCTGAGTCCTCCAGCCCATGAAGGGTCCTGATTGGCTCTTTTTCTCCTTTCAGCAATTCCCATCCAGCCTCCTGCAGGTGAGTTTCTCCTCAAGTGATAGATGTTTCTTTAACATTCGTTAATTGTTCCTTTTTTTTTAATGTGCCTGAACAATACCTCCTTGCTGTGGATAACACAATTTTTTGAAATTTTGGGCAGCTTTTCATTACAGAGACCTGAAAACAGTGCAATCAAAAACAAACACACAAACACAAACACTAAAATCTGGCCCAGGAGGTTTCCAGGTTTTGGGAAATTGCAAAAGAGAAGGGAAGTCTCCTTGTGAAAATTTCACACAATTTCTGGGAAAACAACACCCAGCTTTGCTACCACTCCCCATCCTGGCCCCATCTTGTTAATATGAAACATCTGGGGGGGGAAGCCTCCTTTCTTGATTAACCCCCCAGTTAAGTCAATTGGGAAAAATTCCATAAGCCTCTGGAGATGAATTGCTGGTCCTTTGCATCCTTTTCCCCTTTGAAAAAGGGGGGGACACTCCCTCACTTTGTTCCTACCTATCAACCAGCCCCCTGCAATGTGGGCCTTTCTGGGGGGGGGGGTTGAAAGAGAGGAATAATAAGTTATTTACACTGAAGGTTTCACTTTATTTTCTAACTTTCTTCCCCGTCTCTTTTTTTCTACAGCACTCATGAATTAAACCTGCTGTCCTTCCTGATTCCTGATGGGAAAGGAAGGGTTTTTTTTTCAGTAATTGATGAATTTCTGGCTTTTTCGCAACCTCTGAAAAATGGAGGGTCGAGATTTTAGATTGGGGGGGAGGAGGAGAATGGCAGCCTGGAGCTTCTCCTGCTGAGACCCCTCTGGCTTTCCTTTGAAGGCCTCTCTTTCTTGTGAAGAAGGGATGGAGACTATCTAGATCAGGGGTGGGCAAACTTTTTGACTTGAGGGCCGCAATGGGTTCATATATTGGACCCGGGGGCCGGACCAAGAGTAGATGGACGGTGTGTATGTGTGAATTAATTAAAAAACCAAAACAAAACATGAGATTTCAGTGTCACAATTACATAAGTGTTTGCACTTATCCATAGCAACTTTGATTTATTTAACTATTTTTCTGCATTCTCAGGACACATAGAATCATA